AATGCTGTATCTGCAGATTAAGATCATAAACAGATACTAACCCAAGAAAAGGGTATATCAACCAATAGACTTCTACACGTGCAGAACTGCAGTGTGCATAGCACGTTACAATATAGAAAGCAAAATGTTGCTCTTGTTTTGTCAACAAAAACGAGCACATAAGACGGTCTTTTAACATTAAGACATTCATATCTATCACAAGTGATTTTATGTTTTATTGTTCCAGCAATTAATGCAATGCAGAAACAACAGGGCATCCATTCCATAATGTTTTTTTATTATATGTGAATTATATTGCACACCAAGTGATGCAACTATGCTAAAGAAACTTGATTATTTTGGTAGGTTGCAGATGGGATGTATAAACAGAATTCCGTATGGATACACAGTACTAAATGCAACAGCAATGAACAAAAAGAATGAGCATTGATGGCTCATTTTTTCCCTGCTGAAAACCCATTGGTTGACATTTCATTTCATCACTTTATTTCACATCTTAAAAAATGTTTGTAAATAGAAGGAATGAAAGATAAAAAGCTTTATTCTGTGCTTCAGATCAAAGAGCCTATACATCATGGCTGCACCGAGCCACTGGCATGACAGAGGCAGATACACTGAACACTTTTGCATATGGGATGTTTTACCATAGACCCAGGAAATCTGTTTGTAGAGCCAGAGCTTGCAAATACAACAAAAATGTAAATGCATTTGGCACCAGTTCTACTGAGCCCAGCACAGAACATTACCCTGTTCCTGTAAGTTCTGAATTCGGAGGTGTTTTATCAATATCACATACAGTCATCTTCTCTTCACATCGATCTTCATCTGCACCATCTTCCTCACAATCCTGATCTCCATTGCACACAAGAGATCTGCTAATGCACTGACCTAAATCAGAACAAAAACGTAGGGGGAAAGGAGAAGTGTTTGTTCATTTGAAAATAAATCACCTATAATCAAAGCAAAAGACCCATTTACCTATTACATTAATCATCTCTTCACTCCCAGGATGAACAGCCTGTGCCCAGGAGGGCTTGTGAAACAACAGTAAATGTAGTCATAAAGAAATAGTGTAGAGTACACCTGAGGGATACACTGACATCCGTGGTTTATGATATATTAATAGAACAGTTGACTTTATTTCCTCAGCTTTCATCCTTTGACCCTATCACTTGTGATTAACTGTGATCATCTCTCTGGCAGCACCAAAACATGTTTATCAAAATCCTCTGTGATAAACTTCTACCCACTTACATAATGTGCTTTTTTTGTGAAGGTAATGGAAGTTGCTTGGATATTAGTACTGTTTTAGGGCGCATTAGCTTCCATGACCCAAATGATTTTGAAGATGCTTGGATATAGCCTAGAACAGCTTCGAACAGTCACATCTAAGGTTGCATTCCTTAATTACCTTCTCCTAAAGGAAAAAAACTGTACTTTGGGGCAAATTAGTACAACAGAATGACTTAGAGAGGCTACTGTTACAGCATATTATCTGCAAAGCTTTGCAACACTCCAGAGGAAGTTAAAGACATGTGTAGTCAAAGTTGAAAAAAAGGAAACATCCTGCTAAATCAAATTTATCTGTAGGCCAAGGGTTGTACAAAGCCATTGCCCATTTACTAAATTTCAAAGATAACAAGGTTATCTTCTTCACTTTATGACCAGAACATGGTGAAAAAGATCTTGGATGGTACCTGAGAAACACCTGAACCGATCACCACAGCCATCCTCTGTTGGGCATCCCATTGTGGGCGTGCATGGTCTTGTTTCAAAGGCATCCCCAGAGCAGGAGTTTCCCCCATACTGGCCATAAACTGCTACCGTTCGTCTCCGAATCTGAATGCAAATCAAGGGAGATTTTAGAAAATCACAATGCAAAGGAGGAATAGTTTACTAGTGTCAAGAGAATGCTACCATTCTACTGCTGTAAGGATATGAGACATTCACTATGGGCTCTGAGAACAACACTTAGTATTACTACAATATGGTAACAAACTCTCAAGTTAATAGAAAAACAAATATTTTATTTATAAGGTCTTTAGACTGAGCCATAAGCTTGGCTGGTTTGTTCAAAAATCTAAAATGTAACTGAAACCAAGAGAGATTGGCTGAAAAATTTTAGTTTTGTTTGACATTTTTAATAGGACCAATCATGCCTGATAAGAATTTGCTGAAGTTCTTCAAAGTAAACAATATCATTAATGAAGATGATAAAATCTAACACCAAGTGGGCTACTTTTTGCTTCTAAAAGAACAAGGACTGTCTCATGGTGCATCTTTAATTTTGACTAATCCCTCCCTAACTGATGCAACATCAAAGTAAGTGAGAAGGAAAGTCAAAAGCAAGTGTCTTGCACATCAATAGAGCTGCACTGTAAAAATCATCAACTTGTTTTCATTAAGGATAATACTTTGCAACCAAGTTTTCTTTCCTTGAGACATAAGTCCACTAATGAAAAATCGGCAGAAATGGTACAAACCAGCATCAGGGGAGGAATGCCTCAGTCTACTGAACAGTTCAGTTGCTCTTTCTGGAACTATCACCAAAATAAAAAGTGCACAATTATTTTACATTAATATAATTGTTTTGAAAGGGAGCATAGAGGGCACAGGCTAGAGGATTTACATTCTGAGTTCTTTGTTGTTCATCCTCCTTGTCCTGCTGGGGCTTTTGTCTGACACTTGATTTGGGGTTTTCAAGATAAAAAATCTCCTTTATTACTGGAAAAAAAGCTTGTGAAGTCATGAGTACAGAAAAAGTGTGTCTGTCTATACCTGTTTTTGAGTACAGCCGTCACACTCAGACCAAGGGCCAAAAGAATTCCAGCGGCAATGGACGGGAGGGGATGGGCTGCTCCAGTAGCATTTTTTGCATTTGAAAAAAAAAAAAAAGAAAGGAAAAATAATCAGGGATGTCCATCCATAAGTATTAATGCAAAACTTTCCTAAACAGCAAAGCAGGCCTTCAGTAACAATTAGGGGTATGATCAGGCTCCCTCTAAAACCATTTGGATTTGCTTTTTATGTGTCGGAATGAAGTCAGTCCCAGCTTGGGCTTTCTGGTCGCTGAAAAGAAGGAACTAGATAGATTTGCCCAGCCTGAAGATCAGCAAGGACTTTGTGCAACCATAAGACAAGCTCCAAAGACCAGCTTCACACTGCAAAGCAGGGAGAGGCCGGGCCACACCTGGAGATCAGCAGGGAGGTGCCAGGGGCTGTGCGTGCCATGGCGTGGCGCAGACCTTCCCGCGGCAGCTCTCCAACGGCCAGTTTGCCAACGGGAGGCACTGAGGGGAGCGTCCTGCCCCCAGGATCGGGGCTGGCTTGGGATAAGGTGTGCTGTGTTTCACAGATGTGCGGAGCTGTGGCTCACACCACCACTGCTCTCTCCCCGAAGGGTGGCTGACTCCTCCGGGCAGAGGTCAGGGACACCAAAACTCCTCACTCTTGCCCCCGCCGATGGCGGTGGCAGCGCTGACACCAGTGTCTCCTCTCCCAGGAAATACATCTGAAGACCCCTTTAAGCCCTGCTCCATGTCACGCACCAGAAGTTGTCTGTTAAATTATATATGCTTAGTCTTCAGTATGTAATTTACTAAAGAAATATTTACCTGGAAAAACTGGAAAAAAACCCTGAAACTTGCAGCAACAGAAAAATCCCCAGCACCTGAAAAAAGAGGAGCAAAAGCAAACTTACTTTGCTTTTCTGCTTTTTCCATTAGCTCATGCAGCTGTTCTAACTTTCTGCAATCTTTACACTACTCAGCTTAAGAAATAAAGGAGAGTGTCACACCGACCTTCTTCAGCTTTGCTGTGCAAGCTGTTGTTTTTCCATTTTCTTCTTTCTTGCAATTCTGCCCAATTACATTTTCAGCTAAGTATTACTCCATATAAATTAATATTTCATTGTACTTGCCATATTCACTTCATCAGTACAATTTAAGTAAGTAATTGTCTTACCTTCATGTTAGATGAAATACTCCAATATCCAGCAATTACCAGGGAAAATGCACTTCCACTCAATTCTGCAGCCAGAGTCAGTCAGTCTGTCTGCTACTGCACA